CCCGCTCTGTGGCGGAGAGCTGCGGCCCAGCCTCACACCTCGGCTGCAGCATTAGCTCATAATGGCTCATTTTGAAAAGCACATTAGTTCCAGCATAATTCCAATCAGGCCTCACGCTCGGCGTTCACAGGAGCAGCCTCTGAGCGCTGGGTCGCACCAGTCGACTGTGACTGACAACAGATTTACTTCAAACTGCTCTTTTCTTTCCCCCACCAGACAAAAATAACAGCCCGTCTTTTCTCCCTATTTATGTCGACTTGTTTATTTTGTGCCTACCTTTTGTTGTACTTGATGCTGCAATTATACTTTTTGTCAGTCGGAGGGGGTGAATATCAAAAGACCTAATTATGCAAACAGGCCGGTGATAAGAAGCATCAGCCTGAGATGGAATCTTCTATCTGTGACATGCATCTGTCTCTGCTGCTCCAGGCCTGCATATAAACACCACTGCCTGTCCTCGGGACTGCATGAAATTTTTTTTTTAAAGATTAAAAAATTTGTTCCAGGGAGAGAGGGGGGGGGGGGGGGGGGGGGGGGGGGGGCGAATCGCACAGCAACATCAAATAGCTAACAACTTCCCAATTTGCATTTTTCTGAGAATGGTGCGGCATCTGTGCTGAACGCACTTGTCTGTTCCTCCCACAGGGGGAGCCAAGTTAAAGAAGGCATGTGATTCAAAGGCATTCACCAGAGGATGGAGCTGCGATAGGAACCTTATGTGAATACACGATAGATGAGGCTGATAACCAGGATGGATCACATCCCTCTGAATAATCTCTTCCTGTTTTTATCTCTGAGCTGAAGAAAAACAAACTGCTGACACGGAGTCACAGCCAAGAGTGAGACAAAGACAAAGACAAGAGGAGGTCACATCAGGTTAGCTGTTACTGCACTGACCAGTTTGACCTCTGGGCTCAGGTCAAAGCCAATGGAAATTCATTTCACAGACAAATTCAAAAAGTCCACGTAGTTTAAGAAAAAAAACGTCGTTGGACAAACGTCAAAAACTCTGCAGGAATTAGAGACGTGGAGCTAAAAAGACACGGAGCTACGCTGGACACATGTGTCCACTACCAAAAACATCTGGTACGTCAGACCATGGACACGACTGTCACAGGAAAACGATGTGAAATGACTGGAACGTTGTTCCTCCATATTCACGCTGCTCTGTTGTTCCTCACACTCCATCAACATTCCTCTGAGAAATTCCACTACTTTTCTTCTCTTGTCTCTTGGACAGAATCAAAAGAAGGAAAAATACAAGGAAGAAGAAAGATGAGGGGGGGGGCGGTAATCTCTCACAACAAACAATTAGCCTCCCCTTTCTATCTGTCTGAGGTGTAAGGAGAAAAGTGGGAGAGAGAGAAACAGAGGGGGGAGGGAGGGGGAGACAGACAGCGAGAGCGATGCTCTTTTATGGCTCTTGTCATATGGATGAATGCTCAGCGCGTCCATGAGATCGCACGCTCACCTTCAACAACAGGGCGTCCACTGGGCCCCCGGCCTTTCAGCCCCTCAGGGGGCCGTTAGAGCATGAATGGAGGCCTGACAGCCCTGGGCAGCTCCGCGGGGCATCTATAAACACTGACATATTGACTCCCCATGCCTCCGCACTGCACAAGTGTGAAGCTGGAAGGTTCTGGAAGGTTCTGGAAGGTTCTGGAAGGCTGGGATTCTCCTTCTTTATTACGACACAGAGTCTCAACATGAATGATCTGGAGACGATCGTTGGTCATCGTAAATAAACAGCGCCCCCCTCTGAGGGTGGGCCTCACCGCAGGTTCTTCTTCTTCTTCTTCTTCTTCTTCTTCTCAGTAGAGCAGGTACATCA